TCAGTGGTAGAGTTTTAAAAAAGTTTTAGTCAATACTGTCTTAAAGGCACTTACCTGTTACCTGAATCTAAGGGGGCTTTAAACCTGTTTTGTTATACTGCACTTGTTTCCTCTGGCAGTAGTTGGATCTCTTGCTGTGGATTTTAAGTATTCATATGCTTCCATCCATCCTCAAAACATCTTCCTTCTGTTTTGGTATTTACCTGTTTCTAGCTAACTAGGCTACACAGGTGTTTCACACCTGTGGGCATGACATCTTTAAAAGCTGCAAATGTTTTGCTATATAAAGCAGATGGCAGAGGCCTGACCAGCCTCCTGCCAGATTTCAGCACACCTGCCTAGTTTTTGGTTGTTAGTTTATGCTGACATTTTCATTCCAATATTCTTGACAAAGATGGCAGGAGAAAGACTTGGCCCAAGACACAAAACCAGTGATTTTGCTCAGCTCAGAGTGGAAGTCCTTGCTTTAGTCTGGTCCTGTGCCTGTGGCTGTTGATCAGCAATAGCATTTGAAGAAGCAAGTGGTATTATTCTTGGAGTGCAGAAGAGACAGGGAAGACCAAAGCCTTCACTTGAAGGAACAGATCGAGACTTTAAGGCTTTGAAAAGTGCCTTAGTTTAGTACTTTGTACTGAAACTGCAAAGCCATGCAAGCAAGCTTTCCATGATCAAAATAGTCACAACTTTGGGGCATTTTGGTCTCTTTTTTTTTACTGGAAGTTACTTCAACTACTGAAAGAGACCTTATAAAGCATTTTAGTGATTAGTAAGCTTTGAGTTGTAATTGGGAGGAATTCTGCAGTAACTCCCTGTATGTTTTTTCAATGGCATTACAACCATCCCTGGAGGATGCTGTTCCTGCCATTATTGAGACTGACTGCTGTGGGCTGTGCTGTAGAAAGCATTTTCTTTGTATCAGCGTTTTGAAATTACATTTCAGTGACACAGTTTACTGAAGGCTAAAGTTTCCATCACAGAAATTTGTGAATAAGGCTTCTCTTATCTGGGTTTAATGGAACTGATAGTATATTGCTGTTAACAGAATTTAAATTCGAAGTGAATGAGTATTTTGAACTGAAGAAAGACTAGCCATTTCTCTAACTCATTTGGACTTTTTCCCCCTTGTAGCAGTAGAAGACTTTTCTCTTAGGACCTAAGAAGAAATTCTGACAACTAATGTCTTAAAAGTTTTATGTATGTAAAATATTTATGTATCAGATAACAACAATCACAACATTTATCAGCATTTTTAAAGTCTCAATTATGTTCTAAAATATAGAGGCAATAAGAAACAGCATTTACATGCTATCACACTATGCATGCATTGCTCCCTGAGCAGCCAGGAAAGTTTAATAACAAGATTTAATTTCTGAACACTCTTCACAAGCTGAACTATTTCATTACACAACAGCCAAAGACATTTGTGTAAAATAAGGTTATATTATTTTTAAACAAGTTTCACAGAATAACATTTGTAAACATATGCCTAAATAATTTAAACACAGCTAATTTAACAGCTTTTCATGCTACAAAATTACTGTATACGAAAGATAGCCAAAGGGGATATTAAAAGTGCTCTCTTGCTTGAAGATTTTTCTAGATCAGACTACTTGTAGTGTAACCTGAGTCATCAGCTGGTTCTTGGGTCTCTTCTCTCATTTTTCCAGCAGTTCTCAATATAATCACTGCATGCATCTTTGAAAACAGATCAGTGTGCCAACAAGCAAGTAAAAAACTTAGCTATTTCCTACCACTAATTTAATTTTAGGGTATTTCTCTAAGGAATAAAGTGGATGCTAATCCTCTGTAATTTCACTGGGAAAAGCAGAATTCCACGTGGCTTGCAAGTTTTACATGGATGCTCTTTTCATCCATGAATAGTAATGTGCTTACTGTTTCACTGGATGTGGTGTGATAGGGAAAGCCAAGCCTTCCAGCATCTCACTCAGATGTCTGAGTGTCACTGTCAGCTTAGACATAACATCATGTAGCACCAGCAATAGGCAAACCAGCTGTTTTAGTTCTGCCACCTCTCTATGTCTTCTACCACATCCAGTGCATAATTTTAAAGTGCAAATATTAAAATTTAGGAAAAATTTACTTATTTTGGTGGACAAAAACTTTGGGGGGCTTTGATTTATTCTTGAAAGTAATTGTGACTCATCAGACAAAGCAAGGCTAAGCTGAAGCTTCCACCCAGCTTTGAGGTGAAGCACCTCATGGCAAACAAGAGCCACAGTTTATTCTTTTTTTACTGTATTGTTTCATTGAGACTGACACATAGTTTTTATCAGAAGGGTTTTAAATTATATGCTGATTTATCACAGCCTGAAGGATGAAAGGCATGAGGGCAATCTTGTGTCTCATGCTGCTGTTACAATTGTGCTGAGACTGGATGCTCCATTCCTTTGATAATCATTGTTTTTCTTCTTTTTTTTTTTTTTTTTTTTTTCCTGTATTTATAATGCAGCCCCAAAAAGAGAGCTAGAGAATTTGTGTTTTTAAAGCTATGGAAAGAGCTGATGACAGTGGGCCACACAATCCACCCTGCTCTACCATAACCTACACTAGTTCTCAGGCTGATTCCCATAGGTGTTGCCTCTGTTGGTGGCTCACAAGAGCCAGGAACTGCACTCATCCCTCCCGGCTCATCCATGGAGCTGTGTTTCATTCCAATCATCACCATGTGGGCAGAACACTAAGTTTCTATTCTGCTCTCAGAATGTCCCTTCATAGCAGAAATGTAGAGTATTTGCTGTATCTAATGTGACCTTCAGTAATGTACAGACTTTAACCATATTTAGGTATTAAAAAAATCAACCAGCAGGATTACTTGGCATTGGACTGTGCTTGTCACTCCCTTTCTCTCCTGTCACATTCCATGTGAGGAGCTAACCCAGCCATACCCACCACACTTGCAGGTGTAATGCTAGGAGAGACCAGGCACAGAGGTTCAAACACTTTCCTTTGTGGACAAGAGCACCACGTGGCCTATTCTGAAAATATCTCCAAACGCAGAGCTGAATTTGGCATTTCTGTTTGTTGGAAGCATGCAGAAGGCAAATTCTGTGTCACTCAAGCTCTGGCTCATGTTAACCACATTTCAATTACAGCTGCCAAGGGCACAGCCAATCCCCTGTGGGCCCCCCCAGCAGACGGGGTCAGTAGGGCCTGACCATGCCACAGGCTCTGTACTGCTGAAGCACATCCACTTTGCCAAGAGTGGTTGGCTGCAAGTGAAATGAGTCACTTAGCATTAAAAGATGCCTGTATGAAATGGCTGTAGACTAAAGACACTCTCACCCATGGTACTGCTTGGTCAGTGGTGCCTTTACCCTTGATAGAGCTAGAAGAATACTTACAAAAGAAATAATATACAAATATGAAGTTGTCTGTAAGCTAAATCCAGTGAACTAGTTAACTATGAAACTAGTTTCTGGTCAAGAGAACAGCTGCCTGGAAACAGTTTGTGCTGGGTGAAAAATGTCCACAGGTTTTGCCATTGTGCTCTTGACTTTATTTTTACTAAGAGATCTAAATCAAACTCAAACCTCATCAGCAATTGCCATTTAAACTGGAATGCTTAAGAATTCCTCTAACAATCAGAGAATAAGTAGCAATATATTGAAACTAAACTGTGATTGTCTCGTAACCATCTACTTCACAGTGTTCACTTAGAAATGTATTAGAGAGAGTATCTTCTACTACAACTATACCTGGAGAATGAGCTCAGTGCCACTGTTGTCTGGGCCAATTCTACCTTCTTATCTCTGACCATGACTTCCAAGATTGCAACTCCTGCTGCACCTTCAAAAACACAATAATTAAGAGTGGCATTCTGCCTCCATCCCCTTTATGCCTGAACTGGAACCAGCAGGTATACTTGTCACCACTTTAGTTTAAACAAAGATGTTACTTCAAATTAAAAGAAAAGCTTGTAAAAAAACACAGGAAGACGAAAACCAGCACTATTGGCATCCCACAGTGCAATCAGGTATGTCTTCATCATTGTCTAATGCTTTTCACTAGAAATAGTCACCTCTCATATAAGGGGACTTGACTAGAACTGGTTACCCTGCAATATAGCACATTTAGTACCTCTTCAATACTTTTTTACCCAATGCTCACTTTCCATCTTATCTCTCCTCACCTTCCCCACTAACTACATGCACTTTCTCTCACTGCTTACATCTGTGCTTTCATGAAAAATTAGTAGCCCCAGGTCAAAATTTTCTGTCCTCAAGCCCTGGTCTTTTGTTCACTGGTAGCTTCTCTATTTGTATCAACTTATGGAGTCATAGGAAGATTCCAGAGCTGAGAAGGATTATGTTCACCAGTGACCCAATCCAAATCCAGGAACCAGCTGTAGGCTAATAGGCCACATATTCCAATCTAAAGTAATTTCTTAGTAGCAGACAAAAAAATAAAAAAGCTAGCAGATATTTTAGTCTCACTGAAACCATGCAAGGAATTCCCACTGCCTCTTAAAAGTAAATAAATATATGTTAAACATGGCCTGTGCAATGCAGTTGAGCTCCAACATGAGAAGTCCATTTCCAAACTTAAGGCCAGGAACAAGCTCACATCAGAGCAACACCTTTCTGTGCACAGGTCTGCAACTACTGGGCCTGTTTGGCATAACAGTTCCGGGAATGAAAAGGCAAATTTGCATATTAAAAACATCTAACAAGCTAAAATGGTTCTCTTATAACCAAATAGTGAACAACAAGCACCACTAATCAGGAATTTAAAAATAGCTATCTATTAGTTTTGATAAAGATCTCAGCTCCACTGGTCTCTGCAGAAGGTGTTTATGCTTGAGAGAATCAGTGTGCCAAATTTTTGGTAAGTGACTCTTTGGGTGAGAGATTGTGGAGATAAGCTGGTCTTGTAAAAACTGCCCAAAGATTTTCTTCAAAACAAATATTTGATATAAAAGTTCTATGTGCCAAGCCATCCAGAGTCGCTTAAATAATTAAATACCCAACAAGAACGTGTTATCAGTTTGCTCCTTCTTCATCTTCTTCTTGTTTAAGAACTAGAGTACCTAAGAGGAAAAAAAAAGAGAGAGATGAAAAAAACATCTGCAAGATTTATGAACAGATTATACAGAGAAAGACATAGTTAATTCTGACCTACCTGAAAGATAATCTGGACTATTGGAAAGAGTCAAGAGTTGTATTTCCTGCCTGTTTCTACATGACATGAACTTCTGCATTCCTGAACTGGCCTTCACTAGAAAAGTCATCAACTGATGAGCTTTTCTGTTGGATGTTTTTCCAACTTCTTGGGTAACAGGGAATAAAAAGGTACTAAAGCAGGATCTGCAAAGATCTGCCTCAGTTTTTGGGAGATGCACCAAGTCAGTTCAATTGCTAGCAACCAACCAGCACATTACCCTTCTCCTGCGGGGCCACCACTTTGTGCTGCTATTTCCACAACATACCTGACCAACTTTGGGTATGGTTAGTAAGTCTAACCTTATACTACCAAGATTACTTTTTGCCCATACAAATATTTTCCGTATTTCACTTTTTGTTTCACTCCTACTACAACAGCAAATGTACTGCTGCAGGCCATCATTCCTAGCAGTGCAATTCTCCCACCAGGCTTCCACTTCCTAATAATTCTTGTTACTGCAGTTCATCTGGATTTAGATAGAATCTGTTAATAGATTTCCCATCTACTGCTCCCTGAAATCAAGTTATCATCTCTTGTCAACATCCCTACATTCTTCCCTTTCCAGCTGCTACTCTGACTCTTTTAGTGCTACCAGTCCTGCTCTCCTCTTTATTGCTTAGCAAACAGGGGATAATAGTGAACAGCTAACATCTCCATTAACAGAAATTAACATATTTAAAAATAAATTTTAAAACTATTTTTTAGTTACTAATCAGGACATAGTTTAATATCTTTTCATATCAGTGTCTTTAAAAGGACAAGACAGCTCACAAATTGAGTCTTACTGCAGTGGTGACAGAAGGATATTCAGACATTTAGGAAACTTGTGCAAAGTTTTGAAAACTTGCCCTTGCATCAAAAGCAAAATGGAGCATATTCCTGTCTATCTCCATTCCCTCATGTTACCTCTTGTTGGGAAAACTGTCAAACAAATTTTCTAGAAAAATTGTCATCCAATTTGGCAGATGAAAGCCTTGTTAACTTATTTAATGCTAAAACATTCAGTTCCTTATTAGTTTTGTGCTAGAAATAGTTGGGTAACTACAGAGTAATGCTCCACTGTAGGCTGCAACACCACTTGAACTCAACACTCCAAAATCAATCAAACACTCTCAGAAGATCTGCAGCCAAGATCTGAATAACTACTTCTGAATAACTCCAAAGAGAAGAGGGAGGAATATTAATTTCACAGGCACACAGATGAATCTCTGTGGTTATGATTAATTTCCCTGTGGCTGTCTTTATATTAAGCTGTTAACTCACCCCCATTGCCTCATGCCCCAAACTCACCATCCAGCTTTTTCAGCTTGGGGACCCGTTTGGTTGCTTCTTCAATCCAACTGTTCTTCTGATCAGAAGCATACTTCTCTTGTAGTGGATTGCCTACAAACACCAGATCCTCTAGTAATGGCAGCTCTGCCAGTCTCACAAACTCTGCTGCAACCACAAAGGTGAAAACACCAACCAGATTGTGGAACGTGGATAGTACATCTGCACCACACAAACTCAGTGCAAACATAAAGAGCATGGGATACAGCAGGAGAGGGATTGCTTGGGCTCTGACTGCTTTCAGGTTAAAGAAAAGGTATGCATTTTAAAAGAGGCCAGAGAGATGACTCAAAGCACAAATTTCATTGTGCTTAGCAGTTAAAATTCAATATTCTAACTATTTTTACTCTCTTGCATGAGTAGATAGATTCTTGCCCATGTCTGCAGACTTGTAGGTTGGACTCAGAGCCCTGTAAGGTACAGCACTAGCTTTCTAGTTACTGACTTAACTTATGGATTTCCCCATGCTACAGAAGTAATTACAGAGTAATGTCTTACCCCAGTCTTTCACCAAATTATTTGACATATAAAGAACCTTCAGTTTCTTCATTACACGGATACCCCTCAGTTTCTCAATGAAGTTGTATGAGATCCACAGCTCCTCTAAAGTATCTGCAACTGCCTCCTGGAAAACAATAGGACTACTCAGGTAAGCAGAAGTACATCTTCCAAATTCTTCAGATTCTCTCTTCACCCCCTACAGGTCACCTCATGCCAGAAAATACTAAGGCATACTGGTCCTCATTTCTTAAGTATGCATGACAGGTCCCTAATTATGCATGACAAATGCTCAAAGGAGTTAAAAGCAAAGGATCTGAAACATATGTAAGGAGGACAGAAATCAAAATATTAGAATAAAACAAGAAATAGCTGTCTTGAGCATTTGTTCTTAAGGCATAGGGGCAGAGGAGACAAATTTGGCTGCTTGTGCACTGCAAGCATATGTGAAGTGAATGCAATTCAACAACTGCTTGGGAAGGGGTGTTATAGGGTATGAGAGTTACTCATTTCAGGTGCATGTATTTTGTACCTGTCAGCCAGAAATTTCTTTCATAATTCTCTCAAAAGAGAGCTTTTTCAAACCAGTAAGGTTTAAATGGCATCTCTGAAAGTGGGAACAGTTTTGAAGAGAAGCATTCTGCAGGAGAAACATATAGTCTCTCTTGAGAAGGAAAATAATGTATATATTAATTAAAAAACACAGACTGAAAAAGAAGTTCTTCTGCCCTAAATTCAAATGTAACAAAACTGATCCAATTTTTAACTCAACAAATCTTCCCCTACCTGGTATACTCAGTCCTGTCACCATCTTCTCCCTAAAGCCACACTGCTCCAGGTGCCAGTTAACATACAGGGGACAGACTCTCAGGAAGTGTGTATCCATAGGACTGCCAATATTTGTAGTAAAGAACTGCCTACATATTTTCAGGCAGAATATTCCACATGCAAGAAGTCTGTAGGAATTACATTCCTGTAAAGCCAGTGGAATTTAAATGGCTTTACAGTTTTCAAACAACAGTTCTGCTCATATTTATCACAGACAACAAAATCACTCTTTCTAAAATTCTTCTGTGTAGTAAATTAGCCCTGCAGAATTTCCAAACATGAAAAGAATTTAAACAAAAGGCAACAGATTATCTGAAAATTCAGAAGCAATGTGTAGGAGGGTGAACAGATCATTGCAACAGGGGAAAGTAAAAGGTTAGGCAATAACCTTCTATTAAATTCATTTCATTAAATTCAGCAAAGACTTGTACGAACATAGGGGAATTACCCCACATTCCAGACAGCACTCCATTTGGTTAGTGAAGAATTGATACTAAGAAGCACATACCAATCCATTCAAGTTCTTTATGTTATTTCTTCCCAAGGACAGAATCCTCAAATTTTCTGTAGTAAATTAAAAAATAAGAAGATGCTGTAAGTCAGGTAAAACGCCATATTCTACTTACAAACTGCACTCTGAACAGGCTGTCTTGAGAAAGAATGACCTAACAGGAACAAAACCTCCTGATCCACACAGATCAGTAGGACTGGATGCAGGGGACAGCTCAGAAATATGCTCATGAATACTGAGCTGCTTCATGTGTAGGTCACCTGGTTGAAATTCAGTCCAGACAAATACTGAACTCTTGTACCCAAACTCTAACTACTGACTTGCTTGGTTCGTACCTCTTCTAGCCCAGGCAAATCTTTATTTTCCATATCTCTATCTTAAGGCTGCAGATTTGGTTCCTATACTAGAGGCAGCATGTAAAGCTGCCTTAGAGACATCTGATGAGGGAGGGACGTTTCAACTCAGTCTGGCAGCCAGACAAAACTCCTTCCAAGTGAGCTGTTCATGCTGGGGTTTAGTGTAATACTAGTGTACCTCAAAGCTATCACAAAATAGCAGCCTTTTGGATAACTCACTTTCATTTTCCACAGACTTTCTTGTAGCTATAAACAAGCAAACTGTGTTGCAGCATGTAGCTGTGTTAACTTTGGATTTATATCTTTCACTAACGTTTTAACACTTCTTAACTGCATTAAGGATGAAATACTCAGTGATCTTGTCTTGTTCTCTAATGCATAATGATCGAGAATACAGTAATTAGTGGCAAGACCAGTGCAAATCCCAGACAAGTAGCCACAAGTAGCTCCATAGACAGCACATGTAGTATCTAGAGACTGCTACAGATGAAGACTCAAGGCTGATCTAGAACAGACAGTTGCATGTTCTGTCTCACGAAATACAGCGATGAAATCACTGATGAAACCACACCTACTGAACCATACCTGACAAATACTCTGAAACAGGAAGATTAGTTTTCACTTAAAAAGTTGAGATACAATGAGAATTCCTTTTCTTTTTAAGCACAGCAGCTTAATACACAACCATGCTCAAAAAATGAAGAATCATAACCAGTAAGTCAAAAGCCTACCATGGCTAGTACTCTCCAGAATATCCCTAAGGATCCCCATCCATGGGGAAGAGTGCTGGGAGATGGCCTTTTGCTCTAGCCAACTATTCTCTCTGCAACTCACATTTATAAGTTATAAATCTGCACTAGCTTTTGAAACTTGTAAGAAATTAAAGGGCAGGTACAAATACCAAAATGGCAGATTGCTTAAAAAGCCTTGCCTTGAAATTGTTTCTAACTGCTGCCACTGGTTTTTATTACTCTTGTTCTGAGATACTCTGTATTTTAAAGGAAGAAAGAATTCCATCATGGAACATTTGCAGTCTCTAAAACACAAAACTAACACTTGTTGCTGTCATTGAAAACCTCTTCCTCACGTACATATCTACAGCTGTGATCCTCTATGCAGAATTATCGACTTGACATTAACTACCTTATCAGGTATATACATTACAATACTATTTTCTGTCTGAAAACAGAGTGTAGGTGCTTAAAAAGGTTTCTCAGCTTCCTCTCTGAAATAAGCAAAATCAAGTATGTAATAATTAGTGCCCTGTTTATCATAGCTATAAGCACTGGTTTCCCTCCTTCACAGATGCCAAAAGTGAGTTCCTCATATCCTGTACCTTTACGAGACAGACCCCATAGTCCTAGTCTGTCTGGCTTTAGGATCAAATATTTGGTATAGACTGGATATTTTGAACCTACATTTTATTAATATAAATATTTATGATGCTTTAAATGCTTTTAATGTTTTATCCCACTAAAAAACTTAATTGGTTTCACTTTTACCTATAACTGCCTAGTTTTTTTTTCCTCATAATAAAGTTACTCAAATTGAAGTATTACAACACAGTTATTTGGAAAGACTACTCGTGCCGGTTTGAGCTGAAGTAGAGTTAGCTTTCTTCACAGAGGCTAGTATGGGGCTATGTTTGGATTTTGTGCAGAACACAGGGTTGATAATGCAGAGATGTTTTTGTTATTGCTGAGCAGAGCTTACACAGAGCCAAGGCCTTTGCTGCTTTCCGTACTGCCACACTGGCAAGGAAGTTGAGGATGCATGGGAGACTGGGAGGAGACACAACTGGGACAGGTGACCCAAACTGACCAAAGGGATATTCCATACCATAGGACATCATGCTCAGTATATAAGGTGGGAGGAAGAAGGAGGAAGGGGGGACATCTGGAGTGATGGCGTTTGTCTTCCCAAAGAACCATTACGTGTGATGGGCCCTGCTCTCCTGGAGATGGCTAAACACCTCCTGTCTTTGGGAAGCAGTGAATTAATTCCTTGTTTTGCTATGCTTGTGTGTGCAGCTTTTGCTTTCTCTATTAAACTGTCTTTATCTCAACCCATGAGTTTTTGTAGCTTTTACCCTTCTGATTCGCTCCCCCATCCTGTTGGTGGGGGAGGGAGAGAGAGGCTGAGTGGTTCTTGGCTGCTGCTGGGGTTAAACCACGACACTACTGGAATATTTTTTCCCTGATCAGTATTTGCAAATTTTTTCAAGTCTGAGCATATTATGAAAAGAAATAAGTTCATCAAGGTCCTTGACAGACCTATTGGTGAGTAGCTGGAGAGGATGAGATTCCAGGTTCCATATTTGTCTCTCTGGCATTTTAATGGCAACAGAAAAGCCTGGAAGCTCCACCCCAAAACCTGCACCTCTTTGCCAGCCTTATGGCACAGAGTCAAAGTCTTGAGGATGGGCCATTAACACTGCCGTCCCAAAGTCAGTAACCCAATCAGTTTCATAGACAGTTGTCCCAAGAAAAAAAGTTCTGCTTCCAGACAGGTGGTACATCCCTTTCAAGTATGAACAAAATCAAACCAAGTATATCCAATCCTCTGCAAAGTGGAATGACATTTTTCCACCCAAGTCTACAACACTCCAACCTCACTCCAACCCATAACACCATTATGGAGCTGTTGAACTGCAGACTATCATCTCCATCATGAGCATGGAAAACAGTCTTTCTATCACTCTAGAACTGATTAGGTGTTGAATACCACCGAGAGGCACAAGTGCTTACTGAATGGAATTTTTTGTTGTTGGCGGTTTTGTTTTGGTTTTTTGTTAAACTTGCACTGTGAGTCAACTGTCAAGGCCAGTGCAGGGCTGCCTGCTTCAATACCCCTACCTGCTAAGCATGCATTCTCCAGTGAGACTGGTAATTTTGAAGGTCACTTTTAATTTTCTAAGAGGCAGGAATATAAGTGGGTAAGAATAGGTATAAATAAAGCTGGATACATGTAACAAATTATGTTATATATCCTAACCAACGACTAGAAAACAAACATAATGGATACCTGGCTGGTCACTTACTTAGGCTGTTCAAGTTGGTGATTCTTTCAATGCAGTTTGTAGACAGCGATAGTTTCCTTTAAAAGCAAGAATAATCAATTCACAGCATACAAGGGATCACTATACTGGAAGAGGTCCAAGTCCAAACACCACTGCATTTGAGGGATTTGTCTATTCTCTAATCAGATGGTGAACTGGATGTGTAAACAGACTCAAAATATACTCAAATCATCAAGACTTCTTCAACTTTACCTTCTGGGAAAGTACCATGAATTACTTATGTGACACACTGCATTATCTTTTGATGCCTTAACATCACATGGATGTTTGTTTCTGAAATGGCTCTAATCTCTTTCTGAAAGTCCTGCTTAAATGTCTTTTTTTTTTTTTCATAAATTTCAGAGTGCATCATAAATCTGTCAGTTAGCTGATACACTCCAAACACAGACCTGTAATTATATACTGATGAACAGTATATAATTTTTCTGGGGACAAATATCAATGCAGAATCTACTCTAACATCTTCCAAGTTAAGTCATGGGAATCTTTGAATTAAAAAGGGCAACTGTGTGTGGAAAGAGAAGCTGAACTGAGAAAAAAAAGAAGAGAAAGCTTCTGTTTTGAAGGCCACACTTAGACACAGTAAATACATATTTGCACAGTGGACAGCAGAAAACAGAAAAAAAATAAAGATAAGAGAATATTTTGTTTCCAGTTTGTTTTTTGAACTTACTCGCAGTTAACAAGAGTGGAAAGTGATTCATCCATCTTCTCTACAGGAGGAATCTGACCATACAGTTTTACCTCCTTTGCCTCTGAAGCCTTCTGGCCATTTTTTTCTTCCTAAAGAAAAGAAGAGAGAGAAGGTGAAGAAGAGGCTCATTGCTACATGAAATTACCAAAAATTACTATACTAAAAAACTATTATAAAAGCAATTACTATAGAAGCAATTCCAATATACTACTAAAATATGTTACTGAAAAGAGAAAGCATTTTAAGTACTGTCTATCAAAATCCCTGCTGGCATAGCACTGAAAGGGAAAGACTAGCTTCTTTTCAAGATATCAAAAGACCTTATACAGTACATATGCTTTTTAATAAAGGTTCTGTTACACTTGAGCAATTTAATTAAGGAGTCCTCTGACATAATGAATGGAGAATAGATGGAGGTTGAATATTCTGAATTAAGGTATTTCCACGGAGACTGACATACAGGAACCTCAGCTAGGGCCAATCTGTAGCAGAAGCAGATTCTTAAAAGCTCTGACATAAAAATCTCCTTCCCACTTCACCAAGAAACCTCAGAATTCACACCTAACTCGGGACACAAACTGAACACAGGGGAGTGTCTTTTGGGGGAGAACCTCGACAGATTCATTAGAAGCATGAAGAATCCAAAAATAAAATATTTCTAATTAGCCATTCAAAAAGAGTGGGGGAAGATTTCACACTTTAGAGAATACAGCAAAAGATAAATTTCCTACTTTCAACCTAGGCTGATAATTTTCTAAATTAAATACTTTGTAAAGTTCAGAGCCTTAGAAAAATGGCCATAACTTCAGCATTTGGGTTCATTAAAAATATAGTCTTTAAATATTTTAAAATTCCAAAGTGATGGCAATCATTGACTAAACACTTGGAACAAGTATCTAGTTAGGGAGCACCAGCAGTTTTGACACCTGCCTCCCTTACAGCACAAAGGGAGCATTTTGTCCATGCACTCAGTGTTCAGTGGGAGGACTGGAGGTCCATTAACAAAGGAGAAATCTATTTGGCACTTTCAAAACAAGGACTCTTGTTTTCTCCCCTATTTTATGAAGCTACTGAAAAGGGAGCTGGCTGCGTGTGGGCTGGTTTATATGGCTACTTTGTAATGAAATTAACTGCATCCCAGAAGTCTTTCAGAATCCCACAGCAGACGATCAGGTTTTGAAAACATTATTGTCCCTCTTATGCACCCAAAATACTTCAGGAAACTTAAATCTAATAAAAAAATAGCATGTTGTCTTGTATATTTACTTACATTCCAGTTTTTGCCCAAATTCAGTGTGATAGTATTTTTACTTGTAATTAGTGTATTGCTTGTAATTAGTGATTTACCAAATAAGCACATCAGATGTTTGGTTATGTGTATTCAAACTAAGTCACCATATGAATGTGAAACTTCCATTTTCCATAGTAAATGCATTTTTCTATCTGCATTAATACTCAGTTTGTAATCATCTATCAGTTTACACCAATAAATAAAAATACATTTTTCCTTAAATACATGAGAGAGCTTCCAACACAGACTGTGACCAGCAGTGAGCACTTGCAGGAAGAAAATGAATGCTGATTGCCAAGTACTTGTGGAAGCAAGGTCAGCTGCACAACCACAGTATGACAAAGAAAAACCACAGGCAGATCAGGCACACTTTTCTAAGAACAGGTTACGTGTTTGCTAAGTTGAAGCTGCTTTGATTTAAAGTTGCTTTGATTTGACTAATGTCACCCTGACTGTAGGGCATAGGTAAACTTTATGCCAAAGGGAAGAAAAACATCTGGAATGCAACACACCACCAGATCCAATTGTACAAATCACACAGACCCAGATTAGGAATAGTAAAAGCAAGCTTTAGACCCAACCCCAATAACATGAACAGAAAAGCAAATTCAGCACTTCATGCCTAACTTTAATGGAAACTCACTGACACAGGCCTATTATCTCGGCGAGACATGTGACAGAGGAGCAAATGAAAAACAAACCTTTAATAGGAAATATGGAGCTGAGGCTCTGGAGGGCAGAAAGAGTAAAGGAGGAAAAGCAAAATTTTTTAAAACTCAGTTCACACCTCTAGTAATGCTAATGTCCTCAAGCTGTTGCATTCTGGTTCTTATTAGGAGAGTAGGAGTGAAGTTTGTGGGATATACCAATGTAACTGAAATACTGAAGGTGCTAAACAATTATAAAATTCAAAATGGAAGCAGTTTTCAATCACAGGCTAGTAACTGAGCTGATGATGGTAAGGATCTGGCTTTCAAGGGCACCTGCCCACACTGCCTGCCTCACATCCAGGTCTTTTAGAGACCGAAGCATTTATAAACTCATGCTCTAGCAGCTGGCCAGAATTAGGAGAGTTCACGTGTACCCAGGAACACATCTCTGCCCTAACCTGAAATTCGCTGAGACTATGGAAAGATTCTCACTGGTTTTACTGGACTGTGAACCTGACCCCAGGGCACCCTACATCATCATTTGAAACTGCAGCTGCATTCTTCACATCCAACACACAGCTTTCTAGAAGACCAAGTCAGTGACCACCAGACAAATCACTTTCCCTGTTTACACAGTACTTTGAGAAGAAAAACAAACAATAAACTCATTCTGAGTAAAGCTTTGTAAATTACGAGGGACCACATGTCAAAAGACATGCAGAAGTTTCACTGAATTCAGTACAGTGAGCATTTCATACTGGTTTATTCTGTGGGAAGGACTACACTCAGGTAAAGTGAACAGAGCATAACTGAAACATAAGACATCCCCAGCTTTAAATCTCTTTGTAGCTTCAGGCCAATGCATATTTGGCACGAGGCAGGAAAGCAAAACCGACTCATATCAATTTAACAAGAACATACGGAAAGTCCAACAGAATGTATTATACAAGAACAACAGTACTCATCATTTTACTTTGTTAAACTTCTTAAAGAACATGTTTCAAGCAAATGTATTTCCTACAAAGTTTGAAAAACAAATTTAGCTGAATACAGTCCAACCCCACGATGCCATGGAGCACTGCAAAGCAGCTAGATACTGTTATGGTACTTACCCATTTGGCTAGAGCTTCTTTGATAGTTGTTGCTTTTGCCTAAAAATGAAACAAATTTAAATAAATATTCATTGCAAATTTTTAACCAGCTTGCTCACTGCAAACCTATTTCCTCTCTCTATCTTGCTTGCCTATTCCCCTCTACCACTTTCCCGTATTATCTTCCGTCAGCTGAGTGTCCCATAACTTTGTTCTCTGGTGTACTTGGCAGCATTTTCAGAAGCAAACAATGGACTTAAGGTAAGGACATTATCCTCCTGATCTTACTCTCTGCCCCATGGGACAATGCTGTTAGCTTTGATGGCAAAATTCAATTCAAAGGCATAAGCAATTACTGCACTGAAAATGTGGTCTAGGGCTCTTAAACCCTCACACTTTCTATTGTGCATTGGCAACTTCCTGCCTGAAAGGCAGTCTGTGAGAAGGCAGAATGATACAGCCTCTTAAGAGTCACCGAGGAAAAGGAGAGACATCTAGCCAAAACTCAAGAGCAATCTGGATCATTTATAGTTGGGGTTTTTTCCATTGCTTTAGGTTGTGTTACATCACGAGATGTGAAGACATGTATGATTCGGTTTGGAAAAACCTGGGAGCTGCTGTACAAGGCTTTTTAAGGACTGACCCGCTGACCAACTTTTTATTGTCACTAACTTTTCTGCCTCACAATCAGTCTTATCAAAACCACACAAAGACATCCAAAACAGCAATATGCAAACAACGCATTTAATGCTTCTCTGAACATTAAACATATTGTAAGATGTCTTTTGAATTAAAAAGATTTCAGAGCCCAATCTCTCAGATACTGATTGACAGCCTCCTTTCTACAAATACAGGACTGCTTTTGGCTCTTTTATGGCCCTGAAGTGTAGCACTACCACATGTGGTAGAAGCAGCCTTCCAGGTAATCAGACATAAAACCACCTCCAAGTACTGTGAAAGCTAAAACCAACGAACTAATTTCCACCCAGGATCCTACAGGCAGCCACGTGTCACAGAGCTTTAGTGCTGGGTGCTTTATTCTGGACTGATGGAAACTCTGGTCCCAGGGAGCCTGAGCATTCACCTCCAACATCAACATGTACCTCCATTTAGACACGTAGCGCTGGGCATCCTCAGATGCTCCAGCTGCTTCTGCCCACTGACAGGCATTTCTTTTAGTCTGGCCTATACCACGTGCCAGCTAGCTGTGTGCCACAGCAGTAACTCCTCAGTGTCTGCCACAGACAAACACCTGCATGACCTCCTCCTGGTCAGAAGATCACATCCCTAGGTTCCCACTGCAACAGCCTCATGCAATCCCACTAACAGCTGCCAGCATGCCCACAGAAACAGCTACCTTCTGGCTAATTGGGGTTTTTGGACAGGAACTTCATTGCCTCTTTTGTAATTGTGGTAACTAGTCCTTAGGGCACTTGGGTACGTGATCTCAGTCACACACTGAAGGCAGAAATGGGTTTATATAACCAGTGTGTGCTTCTGTTTCAAATCCATGCCTAACACTGGATTGAGCTGTAAAGATCCATGTGAGCACAAGGAGCAGCTTCTTCCCTGACCTCTGCTGACTTCTCATTTGTTGGAAACACGGACATCAGCATAGTGGGTTATGTGCAGAACACACAGTGGGGATTTCATCTGCTTTGAAGTGGACTTGAAACTTCTGTAGATAAGTCACAGTATCTTCTACAAGGGAGGTCACTTAAGGAAAACCTCCCTCCAAGAAGTTTATTTTCAGTATTCCTCTACCTGCATATTGAACGGTTTTCTACACGCATTTAGACTAAAGAAAGTCCTAATACTTAAAACACTCGAAATGCCAAGCGTTGAGTTGTCACCCTGAAGAGTCACCATCAACGTGGCAGGAACAAGAAACAGAATACCTCGAGAAGAACTAACCACACCTGTACTTAGAAAAGCTGCAACGAAACGTTTTTCCCCAAAAACCCACGGCAACTGCACACGGAGCGCTCACGAAATTTAGACCCCCAAGA